GGAGCTACTAGAGCTTTAACAGCATAGCAAATACCTGCCACTATATCACAGTTCCACATGTTCATATTTTTATGTAAATATGACATTTAAAGATAGGATGTGGAGAAGACATTTTGAGGAATTTCAGACAGATGATATAATCCGGAAGAGGAACGGTTCCCAAACGGTTTCTGGTCTGTCATTTCAGACAGAACCGTTTTAGAACCAGTTCCCTACCAGATTATATTTGCAATTTCACACACAAATGCTTCTGTCCTGTTTAGGAAACGGGGCTGAAACGTTTTACCTGTCAACCGCTTCCAAGTAGTCTTCAGTTTCCTCTCCCGGCTCTGATACGCTTTTCCCCGCCGTTTTTCGCCCGCGCGGGCGATCTCCGGCTTTTCTTTTGGAACGGTCGCTTTATAGCGCTATAGCACTATAACGGGATAATGCCATGATGCAACAGCATTATATCAATCCCATTGGAATGCATGGAGTGTTGTGTTATAGCACTATAGCGCTCTAAAACGAACGTTTAAAAAAAGCCAGAGATCGCCCGCGTGGGTGAAAAACGGTGGGGGCAAAGCGGGAAAAAGCGGTGCAGTCTGAAATGGCAAACCGCTTCAGGTCCAGCTCTTTACCGGAAGGGGAAAGCCATGTGTGAAATGGCAGCCCTATACCATTTTACTCCACGACAAATCAAAAACGGCTTCAAAAACGGGTTAAAAAGAGTCATGTGAAATTCCTCTCTGTTTCTTAGTCTGTGTTTTCATTTCTAATGTACGATTACTATGACTGAAGACATAATAAAGAAAAAGAAATGAAGGAAAGGCCACCTTAGATCTTGCCTCAAGCTGGAAAACTAGCCATAGTAGATGGTAAAGAATACAAAGGACTCTGAACACAAACACCCCATAGTACGTATGTGCTGTCCAGGTGCCTAATGACTTCTAAAATGTCCTATCATTAACAATGTACAAATGCTCCAGTAGAAATTGTTTGTAGGCAAAAGAAAGAAAGAAAATGTTTGTAGGCAAGGTACTGCAACATTATTTGTAATCAGGGTTGCCAGCTCTGGGTGGGGAAATACCTGGAGATTCAGGGGGTGGAGCTTGAGGAGGAGGGTGGAGTTTGGGGAGGGGTGCGACTTTAGTGGGACAGAATTCCATAGAGTTCACCTTCCAGAGTGGCCATTTTCTCCAGCTGAACTGAATTGCCTGGAGGTGAACTGTAAAAGCAGATCTCCAACCACCGTCTGGAGGCTGGCAACCCTAGAAATACCTGGAGATTTGGGAGTGGACTATGGAGAGGGTGGGGTTTGGGGAGGGGAGGGACGTCAGCAGAGTACAATGCCATAGAGTCCATTCACCCTGTGAGGTAGGTGGGGCTGAGAGAGCTCTGACAGAAACTGCTCTTTCAAGGACAGCTCTTGCCAGCACTATGCCTTGTCCAAGGTCATCCAGCAGCTGCAAGTGGAGGAGTGGGGAATCAAACCCGGTTCTCCCAGATTAGAGTCCGTGCACTTAACCACTACACCAAACTGGCGTAGTAAGTTAGTAACATTTATATAGGACTGGCGTGTTCAAAGCACTTCGTGTACCTGGTAGTGTTGTAACCCTTACAATTAGGGTTGCCAACTCCAGCTTGGAAAGTTCCTGGAGATTTGAGGGTGATGCCTGGGGACAGCAGAGTTTGAGGAAGGCAGGATATTCATCGGGAATGTAATTCTATAGGGTCCGCCCTCCAAAACTTGCTCCAGGGAAGGTAATCTCTGTAGCTGGCCCGTAGTACGGAGGGGCTATTGAGGGCTCCGCCCCCTTCCTTAACCCCCCCCCCGCTTTTTAAAGGACCCCCACTTCTTTCCAAAAGCATTTTAAAGGATCCTGATCAGCTGAAGGGCCCTTGAAATCTTGCAGGAGGGGAGGGAGAGGGGTGCGTGCCACCCCCTTCATTATGGCAAAGAATTTGCAGTCCCATCAGAATTTTTTTTGCCCCACAAGCCACAAAGTTCTGGCTACAGGCCTGCTCTGTAGTCTGGAGATCAGTTATAATTCCAGGAGAACTCCAGGCTCCACCTGGAGGTTGGCAGGCCTGCTTACAACCCTGTAAGGTCAGCCACAATTATTATGCCTGTATTACGGGAGTTTGGGGGGGGGGGAGTCTGAAGCAGGCAGAGTGGCTTCTTGCCTCAGTTCTCCTTGTAAATTGATGGCACCGAGGTGAAATTTGGCACTCCTGGTTCATAGCAACTATATGTTAAGTGAGAGGGCTTCAACAGTGACTTTTTAGTGGCACATGCAAAAACACCCCTGGAAAAAAGAAGATGAGCTATGCCAAAGCTGAAGAAGGGCTACTTGGAACGGCTTTCTACAGACCCTCCCAGTTCATGTGATATAACTTAATAGAATCCAGTACCTTTACAGGTGAAACTCTGCTCCATGCCCTATCATTTACAATGATAAAATCTGTAAAGACAAGTGGCAGAACTCTTGTGGCTCTTCACCCATTTGAATGCTTTCTCTGGGCAGCTCCGTGTTTCTGAACAGCTTCAGACACTTCCGTTTTCAAACGCTCTTAACCCGTGCTGAATCGTTTATCAGATTTTCTAAGTCTGCCCATCGATGGTTTTAAGAATTTATTGCTTTAACTGCTTCTTTTTTTTAATGTATTTTCACATCTGTAAGAATGCTGCTGGTGTAAGTGGCTAGCACAAAAATGTACAAATAAATATTTGATAAATAACCCGGCTCCATCAAAACAGAACGAACCTGATGGGTGTAGAGCACTCCCTGGTGGTGGCATACCAAACGGCAACTGCAAACCAGAAGGGATTTTCACAGAACTTCCCAAGATTCCTGGCTTCAGTTAACTGGCTGTGCAAATGACATGGGAATAAATGGGTTAAAGCATGGGATGGAGGGAGCAACTGGCAACCAGGCCCTCACAGGGGTCAAGAGAGGCTCGGGCCACTTCCATTTTTGAGGCCCGCCCCCTGTAAATTAAAAAATGAAGAAGTGTGAAAGCAATGATACAAAATTAGTAGTTGCTGTTGTTCTTGTTGTCCAGTCATACAGTCGAGTCCGACTCTTCATGACCCCATGGACCACATCACGCCAGTAGTACTATATTTTAAATGTTTACATTTAATACAATAAGAAAAAGAATATTGTAAGACTTTGTAAGACATGTTCCCATTTTTATTTAACATGTGATTTAATGTCAAAAGTGTAAATTTGAGCCCCCCTGAGAATGTGAGGCCCGGGTGAAATGGCCCTGCTGCCCCCCCCCCCGAGGTCCTGTTGGCAACAATGGCCCAATCTGCATTTGCTATGTAAAGCTGTTTCATTCTGCTGTGGCACCAGCTTCCTTGGCCCGCCATTTGCCTCAGTATAAAAAGCTCCCTGTCTGCATCAGGACAGAGGGAGAGCCCGCGCGAGAGGGGGGAGGAGCGGCCTCCCGGGGGCACCGGCAGGGTGCTGCATGCTGTGGGGAGGAAACGGCACCTGCGACCCCCCCAAGTAAAGGGGGGTGACCTGGCGGGGGGGGAGGAAAGACGGAATGAGCTGGATAAAAAACACAAAACACTGCCAGGCAGGGTGTTCTGGGGACTGCCCCAAGAAATAACAAATGGTTCAGGGGTGGGTGTGCTCCCAACCCCCCCAAAAAAAAATACGATTGCAGGAAAATGTTCCCTGGCTGCTTTTGAATGCAAATGACTGGATTTTCAGCTAACTTGTTTCCTTGGTGACAATTTGTATATCTCCTTAGAAAAGATGGGGGGGGGGATTCCACTCCAGTTGTGTGCTTATCACTCACAGCGGCTTGAGGGCAGGGAGGAGCAATTAAACCACCTTAAAACCAAATCCAAATAACATGGTGGGACACCGTAGGGACCTTGGAGTCACCATTAAATGGCAATAAAATGATGCAGACAGCTGCTGCTGAGATGTAACAGTAGGACAGCGGATGCGGCATGAAATGCAGACAGAAATTTATGAGATGATGTGAGATCGTTGGCACAAGGGCAGGAAAGGGCAATGCAGATTGGACCCAAGATTCTATAATTTTCTGGGTGAGGGGAAGAAGGGAGTGTGTGCTCTGTGGAACCAGGACTTTCAGATTCTTTTACATAGAATTAGATGATGGGGTGCATGTATTGTGTGGGTGGGAAGATTGGCAGGTCCCATGAGGCTCAGATTGTGAAATTCAAGAGGTGGAGCGTAGGAGTTAAGTGGTGGTTCCTCATGGGTCAGGAGGTGGAGCCTGGGAGTAAAAGGTGGTTCCTCATAGGTCAGGAGGTGGAGCCTCAGAGCTAAGGGCAGGTTCATCATGGGTTAGAAGGTGGAACCTGATGCAAGGAAGAAATGGCATCTGGCCTATCACAACTTGGCTTGTACTTGGTGGTTCAAGAGTGGAGCTAGAAGAATATAGGGGCAGAGGCAAGAGGCCCTTTGCTTCTGTCTAGGATTGCCAAATCTGTGTTGAGAAATTCCTGGAGATTTCAGGATGGAGCCCATGGAAGTGGAGGGGGGATGGGGAGGGGAGGGGACGGACCTCAGTGGGGTACAATGCCACAGAGTCCACCCTCCAAAGCAGCCATTTTCTCCAGGAAACTGATCTCTGCCTCAGGCAATGCTTTTTTCATCTTGGAGACAAAGTGATCAGTAAAGGTTCGCAGTTGGTACCTGCTTATTGTGGAGGTGTTTCTGTTCACAAAGAGAATTTCTGTTCACAAAGATGTCACAACTTTGGACAGGATTCCAGGATGTTGCCCTCTCCCACCTCTCCGTCCCATTCCATCCCTCCTCCTACCTTCTCCCCTGAGCCTTCCCTTCACGTGCGCTCCAAGTTAATCACACACCCATCCCATGACTCAGTTTGTCATTAACCATCCATGTGGGACTCCTTCTGAGAAGCTGCCCTCCTCGCTTCTTTGGCTTTGCCCATTTGGCTGTGGAAAATCTGGAACTTGCTATCAAGCTATGGAGCAGGAATCTCAAGTCTCCGAGCTGCATCGGAACACATCGATCCGCAACCCAGCAGACATTTCTGTCATCTCCTTCTACTTCCTTGTGGTCATCGGAGTCGGGCTGTGGGTATGTGGAGGGGCTTCCTGCATTCCGACACTTTCCAAAAATGAGGAAGGGGCCTCTGTTCCTCACCAAGACCACCACCTGGCTCTACAAAAGGAATTGAGGAGAATTAATTAACATATGGCATTGTGGCATTAATTAACATATAGCATTAATTAACATATGGCATTGTGTGATCCAAAGATTGTCTGGCAGCTGCGAGTTCTAGGTCTTAGTGTTATGCTAGTGGTGAGCTATACCTCTTTTTAGGGGCTGAGAGAGCTCTGAAAGGACTGTGACTGGCCCAAGAGCACCCAGCTGGCTTCATGTGGAGGAGTGGGGAATCGAACCCGGTTCTCCAGATAGAGTTCACCACTCTTAATCACTATACCACACTGGCTCCCCGTTGAGGAGAGCCAGTAGCTGACACTGAGATTTAGGTCAAAATGTGCATCCAACAAAGCCACTCAGGGCCTATTGTCCTGTTTAGATTTGGATACCATAAATGAAAGCCCTAGAACTCAGGACCAAAAATGTTTGCCACACACAAAAAATTACATAGATCTGTTTTATTCTGTCCTGTTCAAAAATCTCTGGCAATCAAGTCAGCACTTTACACATTGCTGTTCAATTTACCCTCCCTTGCCCATATACACCTTTCTCTTCCTACTAATTGATCTAACTTATCTTACCTTCCATAGCTCTCTGTGAAATCCCAAATGCACAATACCGTTCCCTTCTTGTTTACATTTCTTGTCATCCTCTTCTAGTTCTTTGTTCTTTGTTATGTCCTCACTATTCAGGAAAATGCTTGAATGAAGAGCTAGGCACACTCAGGTCTTCAGGAATTTACCTGAAAAGCAACCTACTCCATCACAAAGTGTCATTAGTAATAATCCTGTTCACAGACAAGAGAAATCTCTTAAAAGATTGGACTAGGTGGTCTTCTGTTATCCCCAGCCTCACAGGGATGAGTGGGTGATCCCCATTTAGTTTCTTTTTCTATTTGTTTGTCTTTTTGAAAATGGTTTTATTCTCTTATCACTGTTGGTTTTGTGTATTTGTTTGCATTTTGTAGGTGCATTGAATGGTTTTAATATGCAATTTACAAAATATTTGTACACACAATGTACATCATGTGTACATATAAGATTTGTGTAATTGCTGATTGACTGATGCATAACTTATATGAAAAAATGATATATTTTATTAAGAAAATACAGCATCAGAAAACGAAAAAGAATCATGGATTCAATCCTGTCTGGGGACAAATGAACTAAAAACAGGGGTTTTCAGATCAAAACACCAGGGATGAGAAATTCAAAACCACTTCACCTCCCAGCTTTACACTTTCTTTTGATTTCAGAGGACTTAGACTGGAGTACCTCAGCAGGTGATTGCATTATTGTACAAACACCTTTCTCAAATAAAAGGCCTGGGAGAAGACATCTTTTAAACCACCCAAGAGGCCATGCTGGTGTACACTGGCAGATACTGAACAGATTTGCAGTCCAAATTTTGACTTCAGCAAAATTCAAAGTGAATTCAGAGGTTCTTTTTCAAAGGAAACATCAGAGGCATTTTGAAGGAAGCCCAAAGAGCTTTTGATGTGCCAAATTTCTGATGGGAGATTCTGCACATCTCAGGTTTTGTGCTAAATGGACCACTAATTGGATCTATTGTATCCTTTGGTCTTAGCCTCTTTCCAAGAACTCCTGTTCATCCTTCCAAAACCCAGCATTATTATTTTTTTGCACAAGAGAAAGGCCTTTCCCCCCACAAGAGCCCAGAAATGCAAAGTACCTTGCACATTGCTGAAACCTAGAACTGCAATTCCAGAGTGCAGAATCCATAGGCAGATGCATTAACACAAGTGGTGCTTAGAAAACGAGCTTCAGAAACATGAAAAGTCGCTGCAGTTATTGCATCCAGGAAGCAAGACTATAAGCTATGAACGGTGCACCTAGAACTTTAAAAGATGATTGACAGAACAGAGATGCTAAGAATATCTGCCTCATCTAAAAGGAGGTGGATAGACAGCTGATGTTCTTGCTGGGTCTTAGTTTTTATTTATTGCATTAGTTTCATATAGTTTATACCTTTAAATGCACTGCATTATATATGATTTGATAGAAAAAGAATAAGCAATTTTAGTTCATTCAGTACAAGTTATCTAGATATTATTAATACAAACTACAGTGGCCTTTCTAGAATCCAAAGACCATATCATGGCTTTCCTTTGTAACTCTCTCTCACGGCGTTCCTTTGCCCCCACAACTTGGAAAGTGTTGCTTTCAGATTTGCTGTTTTTCTGTCTTTCACATAGCTTCTTCTCTTTGATCATAGGCCTCCTCTCCTCAGAGAGGTTAATTATTATCAAATTACTATGCTCAGGAATGTACAGGCAGCTGGTAATTAGGTGTACAGTTGAGATAGTAGCAACTGAATAATCTGTTCTCTAGGGGGAACCTCTCTTTCTTTCTATCCTCCAGTCAAGCCAAGGAACCCCACTCCCCGCCTTAAAATGGTGGCTTTCTTTCATAAAGTCTATTCACACCATATTTCTTCTCTCTCTTCCTTGCCTCACAGTCCATGTACCGGACCAACCGGGGTACTGTCGGGGGATATTTCTTGGCTGGTAGGAACATGGTGTGGTGGCCGGTGAGTAAACAGAAAACTGAAGAGGGCAAAGGAGATGGACCTGCTTCCCAGGAGAGAGGGCAAACTCTACATGTTGAGAAAATAGGTGATAGGATGGATGATTGGAATGAAATAAAATTGTGGGGAAAGGAGGATGGAAAGAGCAAGATAGGCAGGATCAACTGCAGGGAGACCTTTCAGGAAAAATAGAATAGGGACCGAGGGGGAACCAAGAACAAAATAAATAAAACATTCAAGATACTGGGTGCATCAGAAGATATGAGTGACAGGTTCAGACTGTAAGTCAAGGCACTGACTTTAGGATTGTCAGCTCCGGGCTGGGAAATACTTGGAGATTTTTTGGGTGGAGGCTGAGGAGGTCGGGGTTTGGAGAGGGACGTCAGTGGGTTATAATGCCATAGAGTCCACCTTCCAAAGCGGCCATTTTCTCCAGGTGAACTGATCTCTGTCGCCTGGAGATCAGCTGTAATAGCCAGAGATCTCCAGCTACCACCTGGAGGTTGGCAACCCTAACTGCCCTATTATTTATTGGTGGTTGTTTTCCCTGCAGATTGGTGCTTCTCTGTTTGCCAGCAACATTGGCAGTGGGCACTTTGTGGGTTTGGCAGGCACCGGAGCAGCGAATGGCCTCGCTGTGGCAGGATTCGAGTGGAATGTAAGCAGTGTACTATGGTCTCTATATTTGTTCCAGGGAACACAACAGTGTGGGGTGATGGGAAGGAGACCCCTTTGGTGGCAGACTCTGGAACCACTGTTTGACAACATGACATTCCAGCTGGAATTAGACACTGCTGGCATTTTGGGGGACACGACAGTGTGGGGAGACGGGGAGGTGAGCTCTTCGGTGACAGGATGTGGAACCATCGCTTGACATGACAATCCAGCCAGAATGAGTCGCTACTGGTCTCTTTTGGGCTTTCTATAGACATTCCACAGATGCCCGTGGCTCTGTCATGATGAAGAGAGCTTCACCAGCTCTGCCTCCCTCCTCCCTGACTGCCCCTTTCCTCTCTTTTCTTCCAGGCAATGTTTATTGTACTTCTCCTTGGATGGCTCTTTGTCCCAGTTTACCTCACGGCTGGGGTAAGGGAGATCTGCTCACCAGGGGTCGTTTCGTAGAAAAAGAGCTAGGGGAACTCATTAGCATAACTCATTAGCATATGTCACACCCCCTGACATCATAAGGCCCGGCAGTGGACCTGCAAGGCTGGTGGGAGGGCGAGGAAGCCCCGCCAAGGCCCTCCCTGGCCCCAGGCAGGCAGGGGTGGGGAGAGGCGGGGAGGAGGCAACTTCCCCTCCCGCTTCTCCTGCCTCCTCCTGGCTGAATGAGGGCCAGAAGCGGGGCAGCTGGAAGCAGGGGGTGGGGCTTCGTCGTGTGCCCCGCCCCCCGCACCTCACCCGGGGGAACTGCGATCCCCCCGCGATCCCCCCGAATCGACCTCTGCTGCTCACATGAAATGGCAGGAGGGTGCCAGTGGAGTGTGTGTGAAGAGTCAGAGTTCTGGATTCTGTTCTCAACACTAGGAAAGGGCTGGGTCCTAGTAGGTTGGTAATGGGAGAGGAGAAATGGGATTCTGGGCTCCCTCTAGCTCAAATATTACAGTTCCCCCATCTTGCCTATATGCAACCACTACAACTAGGGTTAACAGCTCTGGGTTGGGAAATACCTGGAGATTTTGGGTGCAGAGCCTGAGGAGGGTGGAGTTTCGGGAGGGCAGGGACTTCAACGGGATACAATGCCATAGAGTCCACCTTGCTTGTCTGGAGATCAGTTGTAACAACAGGAGATCCCCAGCCACCACTTGGAAGCTGACAACCCTGGCGACAATTGGTTTTCAAGGGAGAGAACAGCATGGAAGAGAAGATACTTTTTAGGCCTTTCTATCCAGGCTGTTTTTCTGCTGCGAGGGAAAACATCTCAAGCCACTTTTAATCCAGTTTGGTGTAGTGGTGAAGTGTGCGGACTCTAATCTGGAAGAACTGGGTTTGATTCCCCACTCCTCCACTTGAACTCGGCAGGATGACCTTGGGCAAGCCATAGCTCTGATAAGAGCTGTTCTTGAAAAAGAGCAGTTTCTGTCAGAGCTCTCTCAGGCCCATCTACCTCACAGGGTGTCTGTTGTGGGGAGGGGAAGGGAAAGGAGTTTGTAAGCCGCTCTGAAACACCTTTGGGTAGTGAAAGGTGGGGTATAAATCCAATCTTTTCTCTTCTTCTTCTCTAATCCTCACAGAGAAAGTTTACCTGTGTCCCCACCCCCACCCCTTTGGGGTACAAGAAGTCCAGAGGTGACTTTCTTCAGAGGGACAGCAAAGAAAAGGTTACAGAGGCCTTTTCCTTCATGCTGTTCTCTCTCTGACAAAAGCATCCGCTGGTGGAATGTAGCCAGGGAAGAGATTAGAGATGAGACAGAGGGTGAGGGTCAGGCACACACCCCTCTGGAAATTCTACACTGAAAACTCCCTTCATCTCACTTTATTCTGCAGACATGGATTCAGGAACCCCTTTTGTCAGTTCTGTTCATGAAGAGCTACTTCAGAAGGGTTCTGGGAAAAACACAAACAAACACTGCAAATCCCATTACAGATCAAGAGCGAGGCTTTCAATATTGTCTATTTGTATACCTCAGTTGAGTTCTGCTGCTGCCAGGATCTTATAACTACTCACTGGTTTCCTGTAACATCCAGGACAACCATAGCATAGGGCAGAATGGGGGGAGTCATGCTGTTCTGCGCCATAGTAATACATTGGGAGATTTGTGGGTGGGCTTTACATTTGCTCACTGCCTAAGCGATCACCACATTTGATCCAGGAAGGAATTTCCTGAGATCAGCCTGGCTGGTGATCCTGTAGGGTTGTGGTTTTTCCCTTCACCTTGTGGCTTGGCTTGCTTACACAAGCCGGTGGCTGTACTGCAAGCACCTTTCTCAAAGCACACTTGCTCTCTGTTGGGGGCACCGGATTGTTTTGGCTGTGGAAACAGGGGTGGTGGGAGACTTGCCCTGCTTCTGATTAGAGTAGCCGACCTTTAGCTGTGAGACTAGTACTATCTCTCCTGACCATTTCTCCCTTTGCAGGTCATCACAATGCCACAGTACCTGAAAAAACGCTTTGGAGGCCAGCGAATCCGCCTCTACCTTTCCATTCTTTCCCTTTTAATGTATATCTTTACCAAAATCTCGGTATGTCACTTCTGCTGCAGTAAGGACAAGGGTGGGGGGGTGTGGGCATCAAAAGAGGGTCCTGGGCAGCCCTATTCACCAGAGGGGGGAAAGCTTCTTAACGGCATGCAGAACTGCCCAGTGTTTACCTTGTCTAGCTTCTTTTGATCTGGCCATTCCATTTGACCCGCAGGCACTGGTATGTTGTTATAATGGGTGCTATTAAAAAAAGGTTCTACCTGCTGATTAGGACACATCAAAAACTGGTTAAGATCTTCGTGTACCAAGCCATTCTTGGCTGCCAGATATGGCAGACCGGGGTGGGGGGGTGGGGGAAGGCGTGGGAGACAATCTCTAACGTATTACCTTCCCCTTAGATGCCATAGCATCGATGCCCACTGTTCTCCTGTCTGTCTGTCTTTCCGTGCAGGTGGACATGTTCTCTGGGGCCGTGTTCATTCAGCAGGCCCTGGGTTGGAACATTTATGTGGCTGTCATCGCTCTCCTGATCATCACCACCATTTACACAGTAACAGGTAAGCTGTGGGTTAATTGGTTATTGGGACAGGCAGTTTGGTTGCCTCAGGCCAGAACAGGAGGCTAAGAGGTGACAAGCACAAACTGTGTGGAAACAGAGTTGCTAACTGACTGGAGGCCAGGCTTCATGATAATAAGATATATAGCAGAAGTCCCCAACCTTTTTGAGCCTGTGGGCATCTTTGGTATTCTGATGGACACACTGCCACACAGTGGCTGCTGCAGGAGGTGGAGCCAGCCACATCTTATCTTCAGTTACACAGTGAAGATCTTTGTGCTGTGGTGGCAGCTGCTGCCAGAACAACATTTTAAAAAATCTGCACAACCAATCAAATCTCCAGCAGTCAATCAGCAGTCTTTCTGGGCAAAAGCTCCATTTGGGCTCACTGACCACCCACTTTCTAAAAACACCTGGTGAGCACCAGGAAAGGTGTCATCAGGCACCACGTTGGGGACTCCTGTCAGTAGAAGAAGCACACGTGGCCTAACCTGCCTCGCAGGGTTGTTGTGAAGATTAAAAAATGGAGGAGAGGAGAATTATGTAAGCCGCTTGGTGTCCCCATTGGAGGAGAAAGATAAGGTACAAATAAAATAAGTAAATGATAATAACAGTGCGTCAACATAGTCGCAGGAAGCTGTTTTCTCACCATTGTATCTATTTTCTCAGGGTAAAGTTTACCAGTTGAATTTCTGCCTACCATAAACAGCATAAGAACCGTGTTGGAGGAAAAAAGTTGACAATCTTATTAGCGATCAGAAATAATAGGGTTAGATACTGGCTTCATAACCTGCTGATGAGTTCCCCCGTAGTATCTGGAAGGCCATTCATAAAACACTAAAATATTGGATTAAATGGACCATTGGCCTGACCCAAAGAATGCTTTTGACAGCGTTTATGTTCTTACCAAGAAGAGGAAGGGATGGGGGGGTGGGTTTAGGTCCCAATTTGCAGATAATAATACTTCAAGTGTTTCAAAAACTGGACAATGCTGAACTGTCAAATGACTCCTGCCTCTTCTCCAGGTGGGTTGGCAGCACTGATGTATACAGACACAGTCCAGACTTTTGTCATGGTTGGTGGAGCCTTTATTCTCATGGGTTTCGGTGAGTACCTCACTTCTACTAGGAACTGCTACACAGAAGCCAATCTCTTCCCTCCACCATTGACAAGCTGGGCAAAGTAAGAGCTGTAACAAGGGCAAGGACTTGGGCGCACAAAGCTGAGGAGTGCAGGAAAAAAAATATAATCACTAAAATGAATGTTGTGTTATCATCAGGGGTCATTTCGTAGAAAAAGAGGTGCAGGAGCTCATTAGCATAACCTATTTGCATATGCCACACCCCCTAACATCACCGGAAGTGTGTCAGAAGGCAACACCCACCGCTCAGGCTCCACTGGACTGTTTTGGATTGCTAGCTATTGGGGTGGGGGAACGTGCAGATCTGTCCTCGCAGAGGAGGGAGAGCTTGTACCTGAATAAAACTCGGTCTTAAAGGTGCCACTGGACTGTTTTGGACCGGGGGGGCCGGGGTGTGTGTGTCTCTGCAACTTACCTGGCTGCTTCTTGCTCTGATGGAGGGCTTCTGGGAGGAGGGGGCGGGGCTTGTTGCATGTGCCCACCCCCTGGGCTCTTTCCTGCCGGAGCTCCGCTCCTGTGCACTCCTGCAGGAAATGACCCCTGGTTATTATTAATCTGGTTATTTATGTATTTACCTTTTAACCAAAATAACAACTATGGAGATATAGGGGATACAATTTTATATTATTCCTGCAGGTACAAAATTAGCTAGTTATGGCTCTGGGCAAAGTACAGTTATTTCCCACAGAAAAGTGGGGGAAATTGAGGAGGTCACCGAGTATAGTACCCTTCAATGCTATTTTGTAGACATGCTCTACTTCAAATGCTTCACCAGCAGAAAAAAGTTACCTTGCAAAAAAACTGCTTCAAAATATATGATATTGAAATCGGTGGGGGTCCAAGATGCCAATTTCCAGGTAACCCAAGACAGAAACTTGCTCACACAACAGCCAGAAAATTGTGTCTCCATAATATTTGCTTACTTTTCTCGAACATTCTGACTATTCGTGGCACCAAGATTCCTGCATTGCTCTGACTGGGACACCTATTTGGAAAAAATCCGCCATTTAGTGGTTAATTTCTTTGCGCTTTAATTTGTGCAGAAAGCATGGTGGGATTGAGAGGAGGAGTTACAGACAGACAGAAAGGACTGGAAATTAGCAGAAAGGACTGGAAATCAGCAAGCAGGCATGTCAAATGAAAATCTGAGCAAAAATGCTACTTCCATCCCTAACACTGCCTAAACCTATTGCTCTGCAGCTTTTAACGAAGTGGGCGGCTACCAGGGGCTGTTTGATAAATACATGAATGCCCTTCCCAGCCAGATGCAATCCCCCACGCCCTCCCTCTACAACATCTCAGCCTTCTGCTATATGCCCCGCAAAGACTCTTTCCACATGATCAGAGACGCCGTCAGCAGTGACCTGCCCTGGCCAGCTGTCATCCTTGGTCTTTCCATAAATTCCCTGTGGTACTGGTGCAGCGATCAGGTATGGGATGAGGACAATGGTATAGAGGGGGGAATAAATATCTCTGCAACTATGTACATAAAATCAGACTCCTTTTCTCTAGATTAATACCTGGTCTGAATTCTCCCTAGAAACTAAAATTACTAAACTTAGGCTCTTGTACTTTGGTCACATCAGGAAAAGGCAGGAGTCACTGGAAAAGACACTAATGCTAGGAAAAGTGGAAGGCAGCAGGAAAAGAATAAGACCCAACATGAGATGGGTTGGCACTAGAGAGTTTGGTGTAGTGTTTAGGAGCCGGGACTCTAATCCGGGAGAACCAGGATTGATTCCCCACTCCTCCACATGCAGCTGCTGGTGTGACCTTGGGTCAGTCACAAGTTCTCTCACGAGCAGTCCTCGAGAGAGAGCTCTCTCAGCCCCACCTACCTCACAGGGTGTCTGTTGTGGGGAGGGGAAAGGGATTGTAAGCTGCTCTGAGACTCCTTCAGGTAGTGAAGGGCAGGGTATAAATCCAATCTCTTCTCTTCTCCTCCTCTTCTATAAAGAAAGCCACAGCCTTCAGTTTGCGAGACCTGAGCAAGGCTGTTAACAATAGGACATTTTTGAAGTCATTAAATTCATAGGATCACTATGACACAAACCCTCTTTATACTGACAGTTCTGCGAGGGTCTGCGTGTCAGGACCTAGTCAGAGTTGAGTTTATTTTTCCTGACCAGTCCTCTACACCCAATGTATAATATTCTATTCGGGTTTTGTATATTTCAGGCTGTCTTCCTTGAGGACTACTGCACAGTCTATGGCTCCCCAGAAAGTCAGGCACCAATACTTATAACATTCAAAAAGGCACAGTTATTTTATTGTTGCACAGGAAACACTACAGGGGGATGGGATATATTTACATGGGATGTTCAGATACTTTGTTGAAATATTTATATCCCTTTGCCTTGTCTTAGGCTGTCTGTGGTTCGCTCCTTCAGTGGTTAACTTATTGGCTTTAATTGGTCTAACTGGTCCCCCAACCAGCCTTCCAGACTCCTCGCTCCAGATCCCTTTTTGTCTTTCCTCAACCCCTATTTGAGTCCCTATCAAGCAGGATTTTTGTGTGCTTCTCACCACCCAGGTCTTATGCATCCACTCTCTTCCAACTCCCTCTTCCAACCGTCAGTTAGGTCAGTTTTCTGTCACTCAGAGGGAGTGCTCCAGCCAAAAGGCCCCCTCCCCTCTAGGTCATGTGACTCAGCCGGGATCTATCTTAACATTCTGCTGGTCCCAGATTTTCAATTCCGTCACAGTCACCATAAGCCAGAAGTGACTTGATGGCCCATCATTCTCACACACCCTTATTCACCATCAGAAAAGCCATTTAGGACCCCCACATCGCTTGAACACAGGGCTGCCAGCTCCGGACGGGGAAATACCGGGAGATCTTGGGGGTAGAGCCTGCAGAGGCTGGCCTTTAGGGGTGGACCTCAGCAGGGTATAATGCCATAGAGTCTACCTTCCAGAGTGGCTGTCTTCTCCAGGTGAACTGGTCTCTCTTGTCTGGAGATCAGTTGCAATCCCAGGAGATCTCCAGCCGCCACCACCCCTCCTGAGGGCCAAACTAGACATTACACGTAACACAAGGTCACTTGCTGCCGGATGGCAGCTGCCAGTGCCCTGTGGGAACTCAGTTCGGAAGCCCTCCAGGGTAGGGTTGCCAAGTGTAAATTCCTCTCCGCTGGCAGCGGGGAACGGGCCTCTGGGGCGGGGGTTTCCCCGCCCCCCGGGGGGGCTTGGCAAGCCTACTCCAGGGGCCTGGTTTGGGTAATGGGTGCTGGAATTTGCCACTTGGATCAGCTGGCCTTCACTTAGTCTGAGTCAGCTTGAAACTACTTCATCGCCATAGCACCTCTGCTATCAGAAAAAAAGAATGAGTTGGTGGTGGGACCCTCACTATGAAAGTAAATCTAAGAGCCAGAAGGGATGAATAGACAAAAGGAGAATGGAGAATTTGTACTTCCTCATTCCCAGCCCAATTTCCTAGTGCCTGCCACATCCAAAATGCGTACACATATACACACACAAATCCACGACACACAGGAGTACGAACTTTCAAGTACTGGTTTAGGGCGGTCAGCTCTGGGTTGAGAAACACCTGGAGATTTTGGGGGTGGAGCCTGAGTGTTAGGAAGGTGTGGAGGGTGGGGTTTGATGAGAGGAGGGACTTCAGTGGGGCATAATGCCGTAGAATCCACCTTCCAAAGTGGCCATTTTCTCCAGCCACCACCTGGAGATTGGCAACCATATCTGCCTCCAGCTGGATTCCCCTCTCAGTTCTTGATCCGCAAAGACTTGCAGATGGTAACTGAGGCCCCTCCGTGATTCATTTTGATTGGATAAATGTGTTATTACTACAAGTTTCTTGAATTAGGGTCCCCAATGCCTGAAACGCATGTGCTACCTGAGGGAGCTGCCTCCTAGTAATGCTACCTCTCTACTCAAGGTGCTTGGGTATGAAAGATCATGGCATGGAATCACAGCTCTTATTCCTATTTCTACCTGAACACAGGTTATTGTGCAGAGATGCCTGGCTGGGAAGAACCTCACCCACGTCAAAGCTGGCTGCATCCTTTGTGGCTATCTCAAATTACTGCCCATGTTTCTTATGGTTATGCCAGGCATGATCAGCCGGATCCTGTATCCAGGTAAACATCTGGGCAAACTTGGGGATGTGGCATGGGTTGGGTCATTTTAGATGTAAAGGGACCAAACTCTGACACTGTACGGGAAAGCCTGTTTGGAGCACAATCTGCCTTAAAACCAGCAATGAGTCCATTTTGGAGGCTCAGACATTGGGACAGGAATGGACTCTGTGATATTCAGACCTAGGTCATCTTGAAGCTTGGGATAAACTAATTTTACTTCAAGAGTGACTGCTATATATCCCCATGCTAGAAATGAGATTTGCCAACTTTCCTAGGACAGCCATTCTTAACCTTTGCTTTAATATGGTTCATAATTCTGACTTGCCTGTTTGTGGGGCACCACAACTGGAAAGACTCAAAAGCAGAGCTTGGGATTTCTTTGATATTTACACTGCAGATGATTGCACTGCTGAAGAAGCATGCTGTTCTTCCAGTCTAAAATTTACAGAGAAGGGGCTTGACTCTTCTGCATGTGGTGGTAATTTGAAAGGAACCTTTGGCTCTTCAGTGTTTTTTCTGTTTTTTATGTTGTCGTTTCTGGGGGTCCTAGACATAGTTTAAGAATGGCTGCCGTAGTAGAATTGCATCTTTGGTTACCAATTTAGAGGTTGGCTAACTATTAAGGATATACAATTCGGATTCAGAAATATTCAGAAGCACCGAATAATAGGGATGTGCAGTAGCACCAAAATTTGGATTCAGAATTTAGGCCCTTTGGATTCAGAAAATCTAGAACTTCCAAAACAACCAGAACCCTGTCAAAGTCAATAAGAAAAGCCATTTTCTCCACTTAAACACACCCACAAGCAGACTATTTTAAAAAAAGCTTTCCCTCATCCCCCCCCTTAAAGTGAAAAAAAAAAAATGGCTATTCTTATTGACTCCAGTAAAACTCCCAATATCCAGAGTTTCTGGATTTTCTAAATTCTGGATCTGAATTTTGGTGCTAGTGCACATCACTACTACCTAGATGAAAGATCAACAACTTCTCATTACTTCAGTGAAAGGGTGTGCACTCAAACTCTTAGATCTTTACATTTAAAACTAGGTCATAATCCCTACGTGTCCTCCCTTCTTTCATTTGCTTATTCAGATGAAATTGCCTGTGTCGTCCCAGAAGAATGCAAACGGATCTGTGGCACAGAAGTTGGGTGTTCTAACATTGCCTACCCTAAACTGGTGGTGTCCCTCATGCCAAGTGGTAAGGGGGCACTCTCAACTGATTCCCGTGCATTCCATCCCAGCACGAAGCGGAGGGGCTCCAGTCTTAAGACCTCCATTTTGACAATGATATGAATGTTGACCAGGGCTCTTTTTGTAGAAAAAGCCCAGCAGGAACTCATTAGCATAATAGGCCACACCCACAGCTCATTAGCACATTAGGCCGCACCCCTGTGTTACCAGAAGTGTGGTTATCCAGCCACACCCACCTTTTGGTTGTTATTCTGTTTACCTTGTTTGTTGTCAAAACCCAGGGCCTTTTTTTGTAGCAGGAACTCCTTTGCATGTTAAGCCACACACCCCTAATGTAGCCAATCCTAATGGGTTTCTGCTGCTGGGTGTGGCCTATTATGCTAATGAGTTCCTGCTGGGTGTGGCCAACTTGGGAGCCAGCCAGAACTCTGTTCCTGTGTGTTCCTGCCCCAAAATAGCCCTGGTTGAACCCAATGTGACCCATGTCTCCTATGGGGCTGAGCTCCAGGATGAAGGAAAGGCACTGGGGACATCCCACTTCACTGTCTTTTGGTGTCCTCCCCTCCAGGCCTCCGAGGACTCATGTTGGCTGTGATGCTGGCTGCTTTGATGAGTTCGCTGGCTTCCATCTTCAACAGCAGTGGCACCCTGTTCACCATGGACATCTATAACCGTATGAGGCCACAAGCCAGTGACAAGGAGTTGTTGATAGTGGGCAGGTCAGAAAGCAACCGCACACCCTCACATTGTCCGAGAACCATTTTCTTTAGGAGAAGCAACAAGAGTACTGTGGGCTGTTTATATTAAAATGTGTGGTCTCTGAGGAGCTATGGATGTTTGGCTGGTTTTACTACAGCAGACTTACATGGCTACCCTTCTAGAATCTTCTCCAGTGTTACACTGGAAGTTTCTTCCTTTTTTTGGTTTACCTTTTCCAGCCGCCATAGAATTGCAGAATTCATTATCGTATCCACACTAGGGAGGTGCATTTGAATATTAGTACACCAAACAGTTGAACAAAGGAGCAATGTTTTTTTAATTGTATCATAACAAAAAAAAATCTATAATAGTTAATATTCAGATTGTGATCTGGTGTTCAACTGAGGGAGGAGGAGGAGCGATCACTACCCCAAAGGGCTTTCCTCCATCTCCACCCCATTTATTGTGCTGAGAGTTGGGTCTCTTCTGCCAGTCAGGCCAGGCCTGGTCCAGCCCTGCGACTAGGGATGCCAACCTCCAGGTGGGACCAGGGGATCCCCCGGAGTTACAAGGGAGTCTGGCAACTGTAGTTCTGTGAGGGAGATAAAGGTGTCTAACAGAGAACTCTGGCCATTTCCAAATGACACTGCCCAAGATTCTTTGGAGAGAGTCATGTAACCTTGGGTGGAGGCAGACAGATTCAGAGATGAACCTGGTATGGATGTGCATTTATCATCACAATATATGATACAGATTTCTTCCCAGAGTCAGGGACAAGGGAAACATGGCTCCTCCCTTCCCAGCTTTAAAAGGAGGCGGATTTGCTCATTCGTTTGTCCTTGTGCCAATTATATGCCAACTCCGTCCCTTTTCAGAGAAGGGCTGTAACAGAATGCTCATGAGTAAGGAAGCCAGATCTGCCCACCAAGTTGATTTTAAAGTGCACCACCCCCATCTCAATAATAAAGTGTATAACAAACTTGAAATGAAATAGTAGGAAAGAGCAAGAGTCCAGTAGCACCTTAAAGATTAACAAAAATTGTGATAGGGTAGGAATTTGAAGATCTGAAGAAGTGAGCAGTGACTCACGAAAGCTCCTACCCTACCACAAATTTTTGTTAGTCTTTAAGGTGCTCTTACTGTTTTCAGGAGCTGCGGTGGCTCAAGTGGTTAAGACGTGGAACTGCAGGCTGTGAAAGGTCGGTAATTCAGCAGTTCAAGACCCGGGTGCCGCATGACGGAGTGAGCTCCCGTCTCTGGTTCCAGCTCCTGCCAACCTAGCAGTTCGAAAGCAAGAAATTGCAAGTAGATAAATAGGTACCACTTCGGTGGGAAGGTAACAGCGTTCCGTGCACCTGCCGTTTAGTCATGCCGGCCACATGACCACGGGAACGTCTTCGGACAGCGCTGGCTCTTCGGCTTGGAAATGGAGATGAGCACCGCAACCCTAGAGTCGGATTCGACTGGCTTTCGAGCAAGGGAACCTTTACCTTTACTTACTCTTTTCTACTCCTACTGATCAACACAGCTTCCCATCTTTAAATGAAATAATTATGCTGGGCAGGAGAACCAAACCTGAACCCTAACACAAAATGGCCAGCCCTTCAGGTCCTCCCCTCCATGTTTCAGTCAGCTTTCACTTTGCGGAGAATTCTCCCCTCAGATCCAGAGATAAACGGATTGGTACTATTTTGTGCCTCTGCTTCTTGGCCTGCCCGACCTGCCTTCTTACCTTGCTGTGGCTCCCTGCAGGGTGTGGATCCTGCTGCTTGTGGGGGTCAGTATTGCGTGGATCCCACTGGTGCAAGCTGCCCAGGGCGGACAACTTTTCGACTATATCCAGTCCGTCAGCAGTTACTTGGCCCCACCCATTGCTGCCATCTTTCTCCTTGGAGTCTTTGTCAAAAGGGTGAATGAACAGGTGAGTGATTTAATAAAAACATGCATACAGGCCTGAGTTCCACTGTATATGAGAGGCAGTCAGTGGAGGAGATAGAAAGTATTCCATATAGGGGAGATTTAAGAGATGAACAGAAGCCATTTCATGGTATTAACACATGAGGGTGCTTTGTACTGGTACTATTGGGCTGTTGTGTACTCTGACTGGTAGTGGCTCTCTAGGGATGGGGTGGCCAAACTGCGGCTCGGAAGCCACATGCAGCTCTTTCACACATATTGTGTGGCTCCCGGCAGGGCAGCTGGGGATGCGAAGGGGAGGCATAGTTTTTATCCCCTCCTGCCAACCTAGCAGTTGGAAAGCAAGAAATTGCAAGTAGATAAATAGTGGGAAGGTAACTTCAGTGGGAAGGTAACTGCAGTGGGAAGGTAACTTCAGTGGGAAGGTAACAGCGTTCCATGTGCCTTGGTGTTTAGTCATGCCGGCCACATGACCACGGAAATGTCTTCAGACAGCGCTGGCTCTTCGGCTTTGTAACGGAGATGAGCACCGCAACCCTAGAGTCAGATTTGACTGGCTTTCGAGCAAGGGAACCTTTACCTTTACCCATCTATTTGCTTTCTTTATTTCTCTCTCTCTCTCTCTCTGTCTCTTTCTTTCCATCTTTCATTCTTTCTTTCCACCTCTCTTTTTCTCTCTCTCAGATATATAGATATTTATTTATTTATTTAACATTCGGCTTTATATCCCGCTCCAACCCCTGTCAGGGGGTCTCTGAGCGGCTTACAGGTCGGTGCTAGTCACCATTTCATTCCCTAACTAATGCCACATATTTTGTGCGGGGTGGGGCAGTCTACCGGCACCCCTATTATTATTAGCAAACAAATAAATATCATTGGACAAATAAATATCAATACCTGTTTTTAAATAAAAACATGCATGTAATATTTGTCCATGTTTTGCGGCTCTCAAACATCTGACATTTATTCTATGTGGCTCTTACGCTGAGCAAGTCTGGCCACCCCTGCTCTAGGGTCTCAGGAAGAGCTCTCTCATGTCACCTGCCATCTGATCCTTTTAACTAGTGATGCCAGGGATTGAAACTGGGACCTTCTGCATGGAAAGTAGATGCTGTAATTCTGAGCCACAGCAGGTGGCAGAAAGACAGAAAAACACGAGCATCCAGGGATGGAAAACCTGGAGATGTTGGGGAAAGGGGCCTGTCAAACTAAGCTCAAAGGACTCTATATATTTTTTTAAAAATCACCTTTTCAACTCCTCCTTTCAGGATCTGCTGAGGTCTCAGTTTTAGGTTATGGACCCGGAAACTGAAAAGCATGTTGGTGATGGAAAGTGCCATTGAGTCACAGCCGACTTATGGCAACCCCATAGGGTTTTTGTGGCAAGAGATGTTCAGAGGTGGTCTGCCATTGTAGCAACCCTGGGCTTCCTTGGTGGTCTCCCACCCAAATACTAACCAGGGCTGACCCTGCTTAGCTTCTGAGATCTGACAAGTTCAGGCTAGCTTGGACTATCCAGATCAGGGCAAACAGTTGTAGTAGTAGTAGTAGTAGTAGTAGTAGTAGTAGTAGTAGTAGTAGTAGTAGTAGTAGTAGTAGTAGTAGTAGTAGTTGTAGTGGTGGTGGTGGTGGTGGGTGGTGGTGGTGGTAAATGTCTGCAGTGGAAAAGATGCAAAGTAAGAAGGTCCACCCTGCTCTCTCGCTCACCTACCATTTTCACTCTGCGTCTCTCCCTCTGCAGGGTGCGTTCTGGGGTCTGGTAGGAGGACTAGCCATGGGCATGGCCCGGATGATCCCGGAATTCATATACGGGACAGGGAGCTGCCTCTTCCCCGGGGCCTGCCCTCGTCTGATCTGCAGTGTCCACTATCTCTATTTTGCTATCGTCCTCTTCTTTGCCACAGCTGCCATCGTGATCGGTGTCTCCCTCTGCACCTCACCTATCCCAGATAAACACGTAAGAAAGGAGATGGGAGCAGGAAAGGGAACTTGGAGGGGGCTGCCAACTCAGCATCCTAGATTGAGAAGCAAAACCGGGTCTGGGGGACTGTTGCCGGACATAAGTCTTGCATTGTCATAAACACTGTAGCTTTGCCATTTCTGTATCTCCCTGTCACTAAGTTTGCAGCCCAGAGAAGCCCGTCTTTATTTTACAATGTCTTTCTTTCTCTGTGATTCATCTTCTGTAGCACTGGTCTCATGGACATGAAAAAACTCTGCTTTTTCAACTTTATAAAGCCTCCTTCCTCTGCACTCAGTTGACTCTTTTCCTAAGAGTGATGCCTGTATGGATGCCGAGAGACTGTAGGCCTAGAAAGGCCTGGTTACATACCTTCCTAGAGGCTGTGCAAAGGGGCATCAGTTTAACGAGGGGTCTGTTGCTGAAGAAAACTGGGGAATAATTAGACCTTGACAGGAATACAGTTCTCAGGATTAGATCCACTGGTTCAGGGGGGTTGCAGCAAGCCTGCCCCAACGGGAGTAGCTGGGATTCCAATGCGCCCTTACCCTGTTTATGGTCAGGCAAGAAGACCTCTAAACCAGCCCTGTTTTGTACCACAGCTGCATCGCCTGGTGTTCAGCCTCAGACACAGTAAGGAGGAGCGGATAGATCTGGACACGGAGGAAGAGGAGGAGGCTAAGAAGAGGGAGGCAGCACGGCAGCGGCGCCTAGAACAGGCCGAGATGGCAGCAGCCAAGAATGGGAAACTGGAGCATGTGATGGAGATGGAAGGTGAGGCAGTCGCTTGGCCGAAGAGACAGTGAGGGATGCAGGCTGTTACCACCCCACTCATACCCCAGTTATCCCCTCCGAACATTCCCTGGGCTGACCTCAAATCCCCCAGCCTATTTCCAGGGTGGAGTTCCTCTTGATAACCATTTCTTGTCCATTTGTGGGCTGTTCTACAAAGAAAGGTGGGGAGAATGCAACGTCACACAATTCCTGCCACTCACACGGGGCAACGTGTTGTTATTTTGTTTTATTCGAACCTATTTGCTATTGAAGTGGGGAACTGCGAGAAACTTGCAGGAGTGGCCATCCTGTTTTCCCCCCAACTTTGCCTCCTCCTCTCTCCCTCCACCTCTCAATGTATTTATTTTCTTCCACCCCCTTCTCTTAATTCCTGACTTACTCAACAGAGGTGGTGGCGGGGGCCCTGGCTGCCCATCCTGCCACTTCACCACCTGAACGGTGGCAGCAATGGTGGATCCCCCTGTGTAAAAGCCTGAACTGCAGTCTGGCCAACCACCTGGGTGCCCCTTCCACTACTTCAGCACCTGAGCTGTGGCAGAGGTTCTCCATTTAAGGGCCTCAACAGTGGTAGCTCCCCCTGAATGGTGGCAGCAAGGGTGGATCCCCCTGTGTAAGAGCCTGAACAGCAGTCTGGCCAACCACTCCTTCAGCACCTGAACTGTGGCAGAGGTTCCCCATTTAAGGGCCTCAACAGTGGTAGCTCCTCAGCCAGCCCACCCTCAATGGCCGTGGCTCCCTCTCCTGGCTGTCCAAGAGCTTGTCTTGTTGGATGGGGGAAAGCAGCAGCTCCCACTCTTCCCCTGCCTGCCTCCTCATGGTGCCCCTCCCTGTGCTGAGAGGAGTTCTTTGCACTTGCACAGTCAACCATTCTCTGCTTTAGTAGGTGTTTTTTTACACACCTCATTTTTTTTAGCTTTTGGATTTTTCTGCAAACTTGGAGTGCCCCCCAAGTTTGTAGCATAATCTCCTTTCTGTCAGTGTAGCCCTGATTCACAGATTTAAGTACCCACAGATTGGGGCACACTTGATTATTACTATATACAAGAAGCGGGGACCCGTGATACTCGCGGGGGGAGGGGAGAAGGAGCTCCACGTGGAGGAGGAGGAAGCAGCCACAGGTGAGCCTTCTCCCCCACCCCCCTGGCGCCAATGGTAAGGCTTGGGCCCGCCAATCATTCTCCCCCAACCCCCTGCACCGACGATGAGGCCCGGGCCCACCAATTCTCCCCCCAACTCCCCTGGCACTGACGGCAAGGCCCTCACGGCTCCCAGCCAGTGGGCCCACCAATCCTTCTCCCTTGGGCCTGCTGAGCCTTCTCCCCCTCCCTTCCTCCCTCCCAGCGGTGGCGAGGCCTGATTGGCTCACAGCTGCTGGGCCGCCAAGCCTTCTCCCACCCACCCCTCCCCAGCAGTGGCCGCGGCGGTGAGACAGTTGCCAGGGCGTTCTCCGCGCATGTGCAGGGAACGCTGTTTTACTTTTGGGGGGATTTAAGTATCCCCTGTATAGTTTTTTTAACTTTTCGGATTTTTCTGCACACCTGGGGACTGCCCCAAGTGTGCAGGAAAATCTCCCTGCCCCCCAGGTGCCCCCGATGTGCGGATTTAGATATCCGCACGGAAGGGGCAACTTGGCTATTAGATACATAGATGATTGTTTTATCGTATTTTGTACTCTGCTCTGTGATTGACTGAATAGTCCTTTGCACACCTGTAACTGCACCCAGCCCCACTGCATCATGATGTTTCACTACAAATCCTTGTTGTTAGATTCACTTGTGTGACGGACTACATTTAAAACACTGTTTTCCTAATGCATCGAAATCAGAGAAGGGAGAATGTTGAACTTGAGGGACAGGATGCTCCTTTTCCCTGATTGGCCGGTGCCAGCTCAGGGAAATAAAAAATCAGCTGTCAGCTGAAGGGAGTTGGTTTTGAGTTCAGCAGCAGTTACTGTTCAGTAAAGGAAAAGTTCAGCTACAGAAGTGGATGTCCAAAGAGTCTGATTAAAAGTCTGTCAGACAGGTTCACCTTTTGACTAAAGGGAGATACTCTTGGTCTTAGAATTCCATCTAAGGATTCAGAGTCTCGCATCGGCTTCAGTTGAAGTACGTTTTCACATAGACATCAAGAACTGGGGTTTGAGATTTTGACAAAGAGTGACTGGGCAGCAGGCTGGAGCTCCCGATCAGGCCAAAAGGAATAGGATTATATTTTCAGGGAAGAAACAGAAGTCCTGTCCAGTTATATAGGGAATTGGCACCCTGGTCTGTTGTGAAAGGAAATGGGTATATATTACTCAGGGGAAAGAAGAAACATTGTGATTTCAGAAGAGGGGGAAATAATTTGATACACAAAAAGAGTGACCTTTCCAGAAAACCTGAATAGTTATTAGGAAACTATATGCAGAAACATTGTAACTGAAACCAAAGTACTTTAGTCAACCATCTCTCAATGATAAGAACCAAGAATTTGTGAAAATAAGCTCCTACAGCACTATCTTGTCTTTCAACTGAAATATATACTGTTTCACCAACGTTTACCTCAGCCTTTCCGATTCCTGTCTACCCTATCCTAGCCCTGCGTATTAAATAATATCTTCATTATTTTTCACTGTTACACAGTCTCCAGGGCCATTTCAAGGGATCTAAAAAGAGGATTCCTATCCTGTTTTCTCCTGACAAATTCCTGGGCTGGGAAGAAGCCAAATCAGATTTTGTCACAGGGTGGGACATTCAGATTTATAAAACTGCAAATGTTATCACGCTACTGGGGGGGGCAACTCAGTACCTGAACGGAGCTAAAAATTTGGCGGGAAAAATCTGCCTTAGAGTGGAGAGGGTAACAGGGGTCCGTCATAACATGGTTTTCTCATACTTTGTAATTCGCTTTCTGATCGACTGAATAGTACTTACTTGTAATCCAATCTGCCCCAGTGAGAAAGGTGGACTATAAAGCCAGTGAGAAGAAATCGTAAGTGGCTACTTAGCAACCACCCAGTTTCACATGACTAATGGCACGACAGCCCAAGGGGGGGGAGACCGATTTTACCGCTAAACATGCCAAGCTGGCCCTCAGACCTAGCAGTGGCTCATTTGAACTTCCTTTCTTTGGAAGCAAATGCGCAGGCGCCTGACCTCTAAGAACAATCTCTAAAGGCTCATGCAAGAGCCATTAATATTCTCTACCCCACTTGGTGCCCCTTAAAAATTAGCCCCACTCTGAAACATGGGTTTGGGGCATGAGCTGGTCAGCTTATTCTCCCACAGATAGGGGTGCTGAGTTTTCCGAACTCAGTTGGCCCAGTGTCATGGGGTGGGCCCCGATCTCCAGTTCCCGTCTCTTCTCTTCCTCTTACAGATTCCAGAGCAGCGCCTTCCTGCAGCCGGCTGCGTCAATGTGTCGGCTGGTTTTGCGGGATGGGAGCAGGCAGTCAAGAGCAGGCAGAGCCAAGCTTGGAGGAGAAAGCGGAGGACATGCGGCGCACGACAGACATCACAGAGCACCCGACTTGGAAAGCTGCTGTCAACGTCAATGCTGTCATCATGATGGCCCTTTCCATGTTCTTGTGGGGCTACTATGCCTGAGCGCCACCTGTGACCTTTAACCTCTGACCCCCATTCCTCTGAGTGTGCCTCTGAGGAACGACAGGAAAAACAAGACGGAAGCAAAGCTGGTAGGGAACTTAAAGGCTACTGAGGCCCAACCGTGTCCGCAAGCCAGGATTACCAAGCCTCCTAATGGTCTACTCACACCTATCTAGGCCGCAAGCACCTACAAGGTAGTGCGATGCCCTGGCTTGAAGACCATTCTTAGTTCACCCATGTCAGCACACCACCGACCCCTCCTTTATCCAATTTATGTCATAATTTTTGTGGAAACTACAAATACTCAACTGGAGGAGGGGGGAAAAATCATTCTTCATAGGTGCTTCGATACCTCAGGTCCTAGGCTTTGGGGGGCCTTGTTCATTATTCATTCCTATACCTCAGACAAGACATACATGCTTGACAAACGCTCACCCACATCACCTCCCTCCTCTTTTGTTCTACGTACATGGCATTTCCAAATGCACACGCCTTTCTCACAATTTTCACTCCTGCATCACCATTCACAAGATTATGAACCCCCTCAGATTCCTACCCCATTCGTACCTGTTCAAAGCCAGGTTTAGGGATGATGGGAAACACATCAATAAAGCAGAAAACAGCTGATTTCTTTTGTGTGCGCGTGCTCTGGATTGGAGGGGAAGGTGGGCGGGGAGTGTTTTAATTCTGGTCATTTGCATACAGACACACCAGATTTGAGGGATGCAGATGGTCACAAACAGGGAATCTACTGGAAGAGAAGATCCCATCCCAACATGTCCTGTCAGACATGGCTTTGGGGTGGAAGATCAGATGTCTGTATGTGTGTGTGTATAGGAGAATCTATGTGTGTGCTGCTTGCCAAACTGCTTTATTTTACCAACTAGGCCTAGATGTCTTCAGGAGGGCAGCTGTGCTGGCCTGCATCGGAAGAGCTAGGTTTGAGTCTAGCAGCACTTCAAGATCAACAAAACTTGGGGGGGGGTTGTCAGTTATTCGACAGTCAAAGCTCTCTGCATCTGAGGAAGAACAGAGTTCTGCTGCGCCAGACCAACATGGCCTCCCACTTGAAAGTATCCGAGGAAGGGAGCCTGGACTCTCAAAAGCCTCCGCCCTCCCAAATCCTGTTGGGCTCTACGATGCTACCGGACTCAAATCTAGCTCTTTCACACACACATAACTGTACCCCATACCAACAGGATCCCATTTACGTGGAAGGAAAGCTAGCTCCCTCCCCCGCCCAAGAGTGTCATCAGGAAAAATAGGGGATCATCTTAAATTCACCTGCAATTTGCAGGTAATAAAGAACTTTGGTTATAATCTTTTTTGGGGGGAGGGGGGTTGTCTTACAGTCAGGGTCATGCTCCTTTTGGGTAAAGACAGTACTTAGTGCTTACTATTTATACTGCGCTTGCTCCTAGGATTCCATTCCACTAATGGCAGAACCCTTCTTCCAGTGAAGGAGGTGCGTTTCACAGAAGCAATGCTCATTCTGCCAGGGGAAAGCTGAATTGTTAATTGCACATGACCCCACCCCTTTGTAAGTGCTAAAAGGCCACCCTTTTAAACATCTGTACAAAGTTTTATTTTTGTGGTCCTGCCCACTCCCCCCAAAAAATACTTTCAGAGGGACGGGCGACATATTCCCGCCACCTCCTCTCCTTCACTTTGGCATTACAGGTACTGGCAACAGGAAGGCAACCGGGACTGGCCCCCATCTTGGTTTCAGCACGCAAGTTTCCCCGGTATCAATGCTAATGATCTCCCAGAGTCAAAGACTTTTCTTCCCATCCATGGTCCAGTCCACACGCCACTCCTCAGGGCCTAGAAGGTTCCGGTCAGTAATCCACCCTGCTGACGTCAGCCCTGGAAAAGACAGAGACGGGTCCAAAGAGAAAGAAAGGCAGGGGCTGGACATGCGTGTAATGTTGCACCTGCAATTTCATACGCTGCTAATTTTTCACACTTTGTAATTTCATACTTTGCATACTTGGAAAGACTGAATATAAAGCAGGGAGCTATATATGATCCATACAGCCCCGTAGCTAGGGAATTTTTTGGGAAGGGGCCTCGGGGGCCCACCAGCTAATTAAATGAAAGTAGAGTGCAGGTGGTAAGTTGGAGCACTTTGGAGGCAGCCCAGGAGGGAAGGGGCCCAGAAGAAACACTAGGGGGCTGGGCCCCGTGAGCCCCATGTAAGCTACGGGCCAGTATCCAGGCAAGAGCAAAAATCAGCTACGTATATCAGAAAAATCAGTTTTTACTTTAAGCACATTTCTAACTGAAGATCAGTTTGAAAATCTGTAGCAGGGCATCACAAGACTGAAGGAGGCTGGGAATGACACCTAAACATTTGGGGAGGGTCTGTCCGACCCTTCGCACAAGTTCAGTGCCCACCCCTGTATCTGGCAGCAGGAGATTAAATTATGCCAAACAAGCAACTGGATGCAAATGTGATTCATTTGCATAAATTATTCCCATAGCAGTATTAAGCTTTTCTGGATGCAGACTTCATATCTGCTGTTGGTCAATCAAGTGTATTACGGTCATAGACCAGTATAATAGAAGACAAGTAAATACAGTTAAGGGAGCAGTAAAATTATAAAATATAATGGCATCTAACATTATAAATAAAGATCTAAAACTTTAAAATACAGATATAATAGAATCAAAATTATGATCAAAAGTTAGGTTTAGGCCTAGCTGTACTTTATCTCTTTCCTAGTTTGGCAACCATCCAACCTGAACACGCCCAATCTCGTCTGATCTCAGAAGCTAAGCAGGGTCGGGCCTGGTTAGTACTTGGATGGGAGACCACCTGGGAATACCGGGTGCTGTAGGCTATCTGCTGTTGTTAAAGGTCACTGTCTTTACTTTGATAACGTACCCGTCAGGAATGCAGGGAATATCCTGTCCATTAGTTGCTGCGTTTCAGGAACTGTAGTCCAGTCCTTTTTATAAGGCTCTGAATGATCAAAAACAGAGACAAAAGTAGTGAGAGCAAGATATATAAAAATCTGTTTGCATACTAGGAGGAATATACTGAACAGGAGGGATACACTGGATGCAACCAGGCAGCAAGCGCAGATGAAACAAACACACAAATGAGATGAACCCCACCAGGACTGGGAGAAAAATCTCTTACCAGACAATGCATGAGGGATAATGAGGTTGTAAGGAGCTGCCTTGCCCTGACCTGACGGCCTGGGCTAGCCTGATCTCACCAGGTCCTGGAAGCTAAGCCGGGTCGGCCCCGGTGAGTACTTGGATGGGAGCCCAGAGTTGCTGCACAGAGCCAGGCCACGGAAAACCGCCTCTGTTTGTCTCTTACCTTGAGAACCCTACAGGGATGCCATAAGTTGGCTGTGATTTGATGGCACTTCCCACCACCAAGAATAGAGCTGCCAGGTCTGATCTTCGTGTGGGAGGGGGGGCATTCCAGGAGTGGGTGGGGATGTCATGTGACGTGCATACATCACCCAGAAGTGAAGTAGGCACATGGGTGACATCGGGGGCAACACTCTGGTTTTTGGGTAAAACTCTTACGATAAAACTGCCCTCAAACCATAGAGTTTTGCCCAAAAAACAGAGCATCCCCCCCCCATCAACGTTCCTACATCACTTCCAGGTGGCATCAGGGCATTGCACACGACATCACTGTTTGGGGGAATGGGGGGAATTTCCTCCCGCCGGCTAACCAGAGGGGAAGAGCCCGCAAAAGCAGGGGATACCTCGCCCCCATCTGGGGAATGGTGACCGCAACCAAGAAGCTGCCTCATGCAGAGCCAGAATGTTCTGGGCCAGCCTCATGGAGAGTGGCAGCAACACTCCCATGTCCCAGCCAGACATCTTCCCCAGCTCTGCTGCCTTTAAACAGAGATGCCGAGAGGCAGAACCCTGCAGAGCGTGGGTACTGCGCTACAGCTGCTTCCCAAGTTGGACTCTCTCCCCCTTCCGCCCCCGTCTCCAGATTCACTTCCTGGTCCATCACCTTCTCGTAGCCGACGCTGCAAAGCCAGGAGAGACTCTCTTTCCACAGCGGACGCTGCTACATCCTGATACAGCAACGCCTCCTGGACGAGAGCATGGCTGCAGGCTTTAATGACATCCACACTGCCTGCCTGTTGGTGCAAAACCACAGAGACGGTCCCTGTGGAAAGCAAGAAGGGACAAGGGGAGTTAAGAGAATGCTGAGACTTTTCACAGGCAGAGTCCCAGTAGCTATCCCCCCCCCATCACCAACGTGCCTACATCACTTCCACGTGGCATCAGGGCATTGGACACGACATCACTGTTTGGGGGGATTTCCTCCTGCCGGCTAGCCAGCGGGCGGGAGCCCACAAAAGCAGGGGGTACCTCACCCCCACCTGGGGAATGGTAACCCTAACCAAGAAGCGGCCTCATACAGAGCCAGAATGATCTGGCCCAGCCTCATGGAGACTGGCAGCAACACTCCCATGTCCCAGCCAGACATCTTCCCCAGCTCTGCTGCCTTTAAACAGAGATGCCAAGAGGCTGAACCCTGCAGAGCGTGGGTACTTGTCAGAACCCACAGCTAACAACGAAGTACACGCATTCAGGAACGGTTATACTTTTATTGCAAAGCTATAGATGCGGTAACACAGGCACTGTTAGGAATGGCCACAGCCACTAGAGCCTAATAGGATATAGGGTATTCGTATGCACACACCCCCCATGGCATGGGCCAATTAGGCACCCTCCCGCGTGCGGGATAAGTTAGGAAACCGTTAGGCGGCAAAAGCTGGGAACCAGGAGTCTCTCACGGTACACAGGAGCCCTCCAGACATCACAACCTCCTCCAGCACATCTGTAGAGATAAGCGTTTCAGCAAAGGCAGAGCAGCAGGGATAGGAATGCAATAACAATGAACAAGACGCAGAATGAACTCCCCCACCCCCATGGCAGCATCGCTGACAGTACTGTGCTACAGCTGCTTCCCAAGCTGGACACTCTCCCCTTCCCACCCCATCTCCAGATTC